TTTTTTCCCAATTAATTGTAGTCTGAAATATGAATCATATTACTTTAAAAAAATATTTTGAGATAAAATAAAATAGGAATCACAAACTTTCGAGCTACATGCTTTCTGCTGGACAGTAACAATCACCAAAACTATTACATTATATTTTACATTCTCAAATGGTGGCTAAGTGTAACTTCCAGGCAGCCACACGACCTGTGTGCCTCCGTTTTTAAATGCAATTTTAATAATCCCAAAAGCCCATTCAACTACCACAACACACCATCCGAACCACATTTTCTCAAAGTGTGGTCAAAGTGCAGCCTTCTTACCCTAAGGGCTTGACTGTAGGGCCCTATGTTGGCAGGGGCCCAGTGAGACAGACTCTGCACGTGCAGCGCTTCTCTCCGATGAAAGCAATCCTCCGTGGCGGGCTCTGTCCACTTATGGAGGAGACAGTCCATCTGCAGCAGATGGCCAGCAGGCAGCGAGGCCTGGACACATACCCTGGATGGCAAAAAGGAGTGTTTTACAACAACCACTTTGAATAAGATGTGGTTCATTGTGTTTGTACCTGGCAGGAGGGTTGGTGGCAAAGTGGTTTTTATAGACACCATTGAGTGGACCAAAGTCCTCCATGTTCCTCACATACATGTGAACAAGGACAATGTCCATCATGCTCCAGCCTCTGGCATCCAGCTGACCTGGACGCACGGAGCAGCAGTGTGAATCATCATTATGAAAGTTAACAGCCTATACGCAAAAAAACCCAAAAAACTATACATTTGTACCTATTTGTTTAGATACGTGCCTTAATAAACAGCATTTTTTTTTCAACTTGAAGAAAATTATTGACTGTTGTTTTGTGGATAGGTATGTTGAGGTATGTTTATTCCTGAACAGTGAATAAGTTATCTCTCTAAATGGCTCTATGGCTTTGTTATTTTTAGTCAAAATTTAGGAGAAAATATTTTCGAAAATGTGCGGCCTGGTGGTCCAGTGGTTAGTACGTCGACCTCACAGTGCAGAGGTACCGGGTTCAATTCCAACTCCGGCCTCCCTTGTGTGGAGTTTGCATGTTCTCCCCAGGCCTGCGTGGGTTTTCTCCGGGAACTCCGGTCTCCTCCCACATTCCAAAAAACATGCAACACTCAAAATTGTCCCTGGGTGTGAGTGTGAGCGCGGATGGTTGTTCGTCTCTGTGTGCCCTGCGATTGGCTGGCAACCGGTTCAGGGTGTCCCCCGCCTGCTGCCCGGAGGCGGCTGAGATGGGCTCTGGCACACCCCACGACCCTTGTGAGGATAAAGCGGATCGGAAAATGGATGGATATTTTCGAAAAAATATGACAGACATTTTCATAGTCACTGTTCAACAAAAAATGCATCTTTTTCTTTTTTGAAAGTGCAAAAGATTGGAAGGTTTTAATTTTCATCCCAAAAAACAAAGTTTATGAGGTAAATTTATAAAAGGGGGGTGGGGGATGATACTGTACATGTTTTTTACTGAATAGTGATAATAAGTAAATATGTTACCAAAAGGTTTGTTTAAACACACACACACAGACACACACAAATATGTTACCAAAAGGTTTGTTTAAACACACACAGACACACAAACATGCACATACACACACATTTTAGAAAAGTTAAATTTAATATGTCAGACAAATTTGACTGCTATCACGATTCCATTAAAAAAAAGCAAGTCTAAAATTTGATTAGATTTTTTTTTAGTGCCAATTTTGTGAATTACTTCCCTTTCTTCAGAAAAAAAGAAACATTTTTGTTGATTCTTGATGGAGATGTTTATGAAGGGGAAATGTAGACATTTATTGACTCGGCAGCAACAAAAACAACAACAAAACAACTTGGTCAGTTTAAGGAATTCGGTTTGAAGATTTGCTCAGACAATGCGCAAGTATGCATGCTGCAACTTCTTTTTTTTTCTTTTTTGGGTGGATGTGTGGCTCCTCGAGGCAATGCTTAGCAAAAAAAGCCAACCTGTGCATTTGCAAAGCATCAGCTTTGTGCTGAAGATCGTTTTGTTGATGTATTTTTAACACGACTGAAACCTCAGGAAAGCGCTAATGGTGTTTGTCCCTCCCTGTAAGCATGCGCAGCGTGCGTGCGTGTCGAGTGCAAACACAGGCTCAACACAAAAAAAAGCGCTCAAAGCTAAGTCTCCCCTTGCAATCATTTGAAAGAGCTTCAAGTTTGTTTTGCCTTTGCCAACACCACCGTCTCGCACTACTTCATCCTCATACAAAGAGGCCGTTCATTAAATATTAACTTGTTTAATATTGTCTCGACGTTGTGCAGGCAATTCAGCCCAGCACCGCGATAAACATTAAATATGCTTTTCATCTTTCGCTCCTCTTTCTCCATCAAAAAAAAAATAGCAGCAAGAGAGCGAGAGAGAGATAGACTGGAAAAAGCGCTCTCAAAAAAAAAAATAGCAGCAAGAGAGCGAGAGAGAGAGATAGACTGGAAAAAGCGCTCTTTTTAAAACATCTGCAGGGCAACAATGATAACCCCGCCCAACGTGACTGCACTGTCTGGATGCCTGCGTTGAAAAAGCATCTGGCACTGGGGTACATTTGAAGAGCTTGTCCTTGTTTCGTGGCGAGGTCGCTGTTCGCTATTCCGCTCGAGCAGCCGTCGTTGCACATGACACAAGGCCTTGGTCTCCTGCTGTGTTGTCGAGCGCTTTAAACACGGGACAAGACCTCAGTCAGGCTTTGTCACTACACCTTATGCATGCTAACAAAGCCAGAAGAAGGAGAATGGAGAAGCAATGGAGGGGAGAAAGAAATCCACTCGCCCTCAGTGCTTCTGTCAATGTGCAGTCCAAAAAAAATACTCAATGCAACCTTAAAAAGTACCAAAACATATAGCGATAAAAGCATCCCCGGTGCAGTTCCAAACACAAATGGCTTGACAAATGTCTAAGTAGAAAGAAATTCATCCAAGAGGATACAAAGAGGAGCAAGAAAACCATCCGTCACCGCAAACCAGAGACTGTGGAGTATAATACTGCAGTGTCCAAAGCTAAGGAATTGCTGCAAAGTGAGCCCAACTTTAGCACAGAGTTCCTTGTAGTGCTCATAGAAAAGCATCAAGAGCAATTTATTGCTGAAATTTAAAAAAAAAAAAAAAGCGAGGAGACAACATCTATCCAGACTGTGGATAATAACAATACAGTCTACGGAACAAAGGCACATGGACAAGGTGAGCTAACATTAGCATGTGTGCTATACTCGTATAAGTCCCTTGGTGTAGCTTGAGTTAACAGCTTTAGCTCACGGAAAAACGTCAGTAGCGGGTACCACAATGGTGCCTTTAACTTACTGAGTGAGTACGTTGGTACCTCCAAATAATTCGTATTCATTGAAATGAATGGAAATCAAGTACGGACTGGAACATGGCAGCATTCACATCTAACGGGGTTAGCTAACATTGGCATGTGTGTTTAATTTGGACATTTCTAGGCATCCTAAAAATGTCACAATGGCGCAACAATGACAAATCCACCCAACCAATGAGACATTGCGGTTTACGTGACCAGATACGAAAAATAGCGCTTCGGCATACCTTGTTTTGCAAACAGAAATGTGCCAATGGAGAGAGATAGATACGCACTTATTCTGGTTCTTTGCTTACTTTTCAAGAGTACAAAAGCTGCTGCAGTCTGGCCCTGGATTCCGGGGTCTTGGCTTAGCAACCCGTTGATACCAGAAATCCACTGATAACCCCGAGAAGTTCTGGAGGAGCAAGACGGAGGCATATCTGCGGGGAGTGCTGTAAATATGGAGGAGGAGGAGAGGGTGAGCAGGTTTGCAATCGAGTCCAATTTAGAGACAATCAGAAAATCAGGCCTTTGCTGACCATAATGATGGAAAAGTTGACCTAATTTTTAGTATCTGTGTATGGTAGCATTTTTGTCACAGGTTAAGAAGCGTGTGGTTCTTTGTGGCCCAAAAAAATGGTGCCCGCCTGCAGCATTGAAGTTGCCCACCTCTGGTGTAAGTTTTATTTTTCTTTACAACCTTTACGTGTGCTGTGCAGGAGGTAGTCCATGTATATATGCATAGAGGCGATAGAAATGCAACGACTGTCAAGCAGTCACTCAAACATGGAGGCATTGCCACGCACAAGACACAGATCCGCGGCACGCACAAGGATATCATGTGACTAGCCCCCCCCCC